GGCCATCGTAGAGGACATTCTGGTTTTCTGCTACTCTGTTCTCTGTCCTTTATTGATACGAAACCCGATGCCTTTATGCTCTCTATTTTTCTCTTCAAGAAAATAATAGAGGACATAAAGGCACCCAGTTTCATATCAATAGAGGATAGAGGACAACCAGACTGTCCTCTGTGATGAGCACCCTAGTCCTCACCAAGGCTTGGCTCTTCATCTCACCCCTGGGTAGGGGCAGGGCAAGCCTCTCTCCCAACCATTACCTGATTGGTGGGAACTGCTCACCAATTGCTCAAAGTCTTTTTTGAGCCGGCAGCCAGGCTACTGCCGGCAAGCTCGCCATAGCCACGATGCTGTACGTGTGCACAGGAGGCAGAGGGGTGACTCAGGGGCTCCAGCACCATGCACAGCCATGGGGGTCCTCTCCTCTGAAACCTTTGTCACACCTTTGTTACCTCCCAATTTCTGTAGAACAGGGGTTGCTGCAGGGCTGCATGGTCCTCAGTGGCCTACTTGAACCAACACTGCTCAGATTATTACAGGAAGGATCCTACATTTCCCTTCTTTGTCTTCCTAGTCAGTTTGGGATCACTGTTTCCTCCAAGCCATATTTCAATTTAGCTGCTCCCCTCTTCTGGGAACCATGTCTTGGCTAGTCTCAGAGCCCAAGGACAATGGGCATGTTGGCCTTTTGTTTCTCCCACACTCACAGCTCAGGGGAACACACAGGTTGACCTATAATACACTGGCCACAGCAACGTCACCACTCAGAAGTAAATCACAAGGATTTCTTCTCAGAGGCGGATGGAGGAATGCTCTTTATGAACCTAGCACATGGGCTTGTTCACTTTCTAGATAATGTTGGGAATATGAAGGGATAGCCAAGCCTTCACGATACTGTTCCATTGCTTCTTTGACAACTAGCACAAAATACCAGCCTGATAGAAAAAAAACTGGCAAATCTGATAGGTGAAAGAAATATTATGCCTATTAAGCAATTCATTTTTTAACATCTTTTTTTTTTTTTTAAACAAAAAAAATCTTTTATTGAATAAATGTTCATTATATCCTGTCTAATGATCAGCTCCATTTCTTCCAGTCACAAAGAAAGGAACATTGTATACCATATTGTTTTCATTTAGTCTTGTGCCATCTCACCATGGATGTAAAGTTAGGAAGCTGCCCTTTTCTCCATGTTATCCATAAATATTAGGCCTGTGTGAATAGGGAACTATTCAATTCAGATTCAGCCAATTCGGATGCTAGCTATTCAATTCAGAGCTCTGAATTGCTTTTCTGATTCGATTCAGCCAATTCAGATTCAGAAGATTCAGAACTGATTCGGAGATATTCGGAGATTCAGCCATAGAGTATAATGGAGAATCAATGAAATATCTAAAACTTTGTTGTTAAACATGCTGTCTTGAATAAATCAAATCAATGTATTTTATATAACTTTTAGAGGAATACTTGGTCTGCTACCTTCCCCAGCCCAAATTTCCCCTGCTGCAGCTTGAGGCCATTGCTTCTAGTCCTGTCTCTAATAGGCACAGAGAAATGTCTGTCTCTATCCTTTCTATAATCACCCTTCAGGTATTTGAAGGCTGTTATCAAATCCTCCTGGCACTCTTCTCTTCTCCAAGCTAAATATTTTTTCTGCCTTTCCTCATAAGCCTCATCTCCCAGGCCCCAGATCAGTTTTGTTGGCCTCCCACGTTCCTGCAGGGGATGCCTTCTGTAGAAGGCCAGCATAATGGCAATATAGGGTTTCAGTCCCACATAAAGTTTTCAGTGTATGCAATAGTTTGTTTAAATCTCCTGCAACAGGATAACAGTAGTGAACTGGTAGAGTGGGGTGGATTTTGGATTTTCTAAAAATTTGTCTAAGTGATTAAATGAAGTCCGAAAGCCCTTGATTCTCAGTAGGATATTCTGTATTAAGACAGGTGATTGAGAAAATAGAGTTTCCGTCTCAACGTTCCAGAAAACTCTGCTAGTGGCCTCTAGGGTTGCCAACACTGACTAAAGCTATTCCAGGAGATTTTATTTTTCTTAAAATATCCTATTAAAATCTCCCAGATTGCTTTCAATAATCACAGGAAGATGGATGCTGATTCCAGCCAATTTTGGCCAATCTGGGAGGGTGGCAACTCCAGTGGCGTCCTCAGTCTGATAAGACCTAGCACATAATAAACTAGAGCTACTGTGAATTTTACTGAAGGACTCTGCATTTCCCCACCAGATTTCTTAGGGCTCCTAAAACATCCTTGTTTCTCAGGCTGTAGATGAATGGATTCAGTACTGGGGTGACAATGGTGTAAAACAGAGACACAATCTTGTCTTGCTCTGGTGAGTGGTAGGCACTGGGTCGCATGTACATGAAGATGCCTGCCCCATAGAATAGCCCCACCACTGTCAGATGTGAGGAGCAAGTAGCCAGAGCTTTCTGCTGTCCTCTGGTTGACTTGGTCCTCATCCTCAGGACTGCAGAGAGGATGTGTGTATAAGATGCTATTATAATGGAAGAAGGGATGAGAAGCAGGACAATGCCACTCACGAGCACTGTAGTCTCATAGCGGGAGGTATCAGAGCAGGACAACTTTAGCAGGGCTGGGATCTCGCAGAAGAAGTGGTCAATCTCTTTTGAGCCACAGTGAGGGAAAGCCAGTGTAAACGCTACGTGAATTAAGGCATTTACAGATCCACCAATCCAGACCACAGCTGTTAAAAGAAAGCAGATGTTCCTGCTCATGAGGATGGGGTACTGCAAGGGTTTGCAGATAGCTATGTACCTGTCATAGGACATGACTGTCAGAAGGAGGCAGTCTGCTCCACCCATGGTCATCATGAGGAAAATCTGAACCCCACACTCAGTCACAGAAATAGGGTTGCCTGGGATCAGGAAGTCTGCTGACATTTTGGGGATAATGACGAAGCCTTGAGCGATGTCTGTGAAGGCCAACTGGCTAAGGAAAAAATACATGGGGGTGTGAAGGCGGGAATCCACCTGGATTAGAAACAGGAGCAGAGCATTCCCCGTCAGGGCAGTAATGAAGGCCAGTAAGATCATGGCCAGGAAGACGGTGTGGACTTTGGTGTGTTTCAGAAGACCCAGCAGAACAAATTCCATTAGTGAAGTTGCATTCTGTGTCTCCATTCCCTGTTTGCTTGGCTGGGTCTGGAGGAAGATGAGAAGAGATTAGAGGAAAAAGCTCGCGGAAAGGGCATACCTTGCATATACACTAGCACTTACTCTGTGGGGACATCTACATGAGACATTTACTGTGGAGCTAATTCATTAGCTCCACCGTAAAATGCTTCAGTCTCTACATGTGCGCCACTATTAGGGCACAGGTAATTAATAAACTTCAGAGCAGGGTAGGACTTGTAAACACAAATACAGATTTCCCTCAATTTATGCTGTACATGCATTCCCGGAGAGCGGTGCATAAATTGAATTGGTATAAAGTGAACCCACTTGGTTACAATGTAACAAATAGGGCTAGGTTCCCATTGGGGGGGAGGGAGGGAGGCAGTGAGGCTGGGACTAGGGAAGGGGCAGGCGGAGGAGTGCTGCTCCCGGGGCTGCACAAGGCAGAAAAGCGGAGGGAACAGAGTGGCACTCACTCCAGCCCCGGCTGCAGCGGCCCTGGGAGTGGCCAGCACCAGCTGCCTGCAACTGCTGGGTTGCACCATGCTCCACCTGTCCCCACTCACCTCTGCTCCTGGGCTGCGCCGTGCCCGGTACAGGCAGCTGGTGTCAGCTTCTGCTGGGGCTGCTGCATCTGGGGCTGGGGTGAGTGCTGTGCCCTGTGCCACCCGGGGCTCCACTTGTCCGCACTCACCCCAGCCTGTGCTGGAGCAGCCCCGGGAGCGGGCGCGCCTGGCGCTGGCCACTCCCAGGGCTGCTGCAGCCGGGGCTGGGGTGAGTGGGGCCACGGCCCTTTCCCCTCCCTCCACAGACTTACCTGCTTGGGCGGGGGGCATCTATTCTGATCACAACAGAGCAAATTTACTTTGCATATAACGAATTATGAGTCTAAATGTGCTCATCGCATAAGAGTGAATTCACATACAAAGAACCCGCATAAATTGAGGGAAACCTGTACTACCCTGCAGCAAAGTTTCTTCCTGCGCAGCAGCGGGCATGCACACAATGACCCAGCTGGCTAGAGCACAGGGGTGCTTCTACGTGGGGGATGCCTGCTGGCTAGCCCTGTGCTGAAGCACCTTGATGCCCCTACCAGCCCTTCTGCAGCATGCTGAACCTGGTCAGAGCCACCCTGGGCTAGCAGGCTGACCCTATGGACCCTGCAAGCAAGGCTGTTCTGACCTGGTTCAATGTGCTGCGGTCAGGGCACATATATAAAAGGGGCACCTGGGAGCTTCCAGAGCAAGAAGCCCCAAGGTTTATTGCTGCACATAAATGGCACATGTAGATGCACCCTGTATTTCAGAATGGTCAAGTGGTCCATTTTTCTCTCAGTGGCAGAAATGCTGGATATGCTCACGACCAGGGATCCTGGCTTTCTCTGATTTAAAACAACTCCAATTTTCATATTTTAAAAAGTCACCCCAAATCCACATTTTTCCACAATTAAAATGAAACACCACTAATATACAGATTATATATAGCAGTGTTTGTTTTAATCATGGAAAAATGTGGATTTGGGGTGGCTTTTTTTAATCCAAAAATTGGAGATTTTTTTTATAGATCCAGATTTTGTTTTAACCAGGATCCTTGCTCATTACCAACAGAATCAATTCCATTCACTAACAGTTCTATGTATTTAGCTAAAGATTGTTTTAATATCATGGTTTTTTTTATCGGACAGTTCTATTTTTCCACAGGGTAAAATTGAGTCTCTCCCTGCATGCAAGTGCCAAAACTGACAGTTATTTGGCTGTGTATGCATCCCAATCAGTACATAAACTGATGAAGGATTCTACTCAGGCTTTCCAAATCAAAGAGAAATTGGGTATGCTTACTGGAAAAATGACCACTGGTAAAGATGACCCACGCTAGGTGGGAGAACAGGTAGGGTGGGAGGAGGGAAGGTCAGAAAGCTGCCAGCCAAGCAGACCATTCCTTTAACCCCTGTCATTCTTGATCACTCTTTAATATAGTCATTGAGATGGTGGCACCAAACTATTCTTCCCTTAAACCTAGACCAATGTACTCCATCTCAGTGCCCAAATGGAAGAGAACATAAAATTATCCAAGAGTGCCCAGAGTTCAGCAGCAAGGACTTCACTGATAGATACACCACTTCTGCAGTAAAGCAGAAATTATTACTGGAAGAGTTTGTTCCTGAAATACAAGTCAGTCTGGAGTTTAGCCCATAAAACTTTCATTTCTGTACTATATTCCACCCTCAGAACAGACAGTATTTCACTGTTAGTCACTAATTTAGTAATCATCTAAACAAAGGTAGTTAGTTAAGGTTAGCGATCTGAAAATATGGCAGAACCAAGGCTATGCAAAGTATATTGTGGTTTTTGGCAGGCAATTGGAAATTTGTTGCTATTAATGATTATTATTCTTTTTCCCCTCTATTACTCAGAACCATGCAGATGATACAATCACATAATACAGGTGTAACTTAGACAAAGGAATCGGTGAGTTTAAAAGTGATCACCTTCCTCAGTATTTTAGAAGTACCCACCCAGGTTGCTTTTTGAAGGACCTGAGGTCTCAAAAAAGCATCAATTAGTGTATTGCACAAGGCTGTTGTGATACCCTCATAATGAAATCCCAGGGTTCCCCAAGCAAATTGTCATATACCCATACTTTACAAGTCCTCAATTATATTTAATTCTTATAGTAGCTGATCACATTCAGCAATCTTTCCTGCATATTCATTTGCAATTTTACACCAAATGAAAAAAAACCATAATGAAGAACTCTCACTCCCTTCTTAATACAAACGATATTGGGCATTGTAGCAAGTGCCTTCATGAAAACCCCACTGATGTTGTTTCTTCATACTGTTAACGCTTCTGCAGGACAAAATAGTTTTTTGCATTTGTAGGTCATTTTCCCATTGGCACCAGTATTTTCCTTGGTGCAGTTTCTTCAAAGACAGATGCACACAAGCCCTATTTGAAAAGAACTGGCACCAAACACAGAAACCAGATGTGCAGAGACCTCAGGTCAGGCAGCATCATTCTGTCCCAGAAAATGGCCTTCTCAAATCTTTCCTTCCTGTTCTCTTTCTCCCTCTCTGTTTTCAGTCTCCCTCACATCAGAGAGAGGAACAAAGTAGTTTTCATTTCCTGCCCCTGCCTGTGAGCCTTGCCTATGGGAGAGCCCTTTGATGAGTGCTCTCATGCTGGAAAAGGCAGGGTGAGCCTCAGCATCTCCCCTTAGGATGGACAGGTGCTTTGCCAGACAAAGGAAGATGAGAGCTTCATCAGGCAGAGAACTGGGAGTGTTTCAACCCAGGCTTAGGTTCCTTACACAGCAATGACCCCATACGGGAAGCAATTAATACCTAATAATTGCTTTGTGTTACCACCAAGCCCTTAGAAGTAACAGACAGAAACTGAAAAAATATTTTAAGCCAGAACCAATAACCCTTCTTTCTCAGTGATTCTCTTCTCAGCAGCTATCTACACAAAATAGTATGTTTAAAAACTTCCAAAAAGAAACCGTATTTTGAATATTTCAACACACATTATCTACAAATATAATAAGACAATAATTTCTTACCTGTGTCTCATTCTGGGAGCCATTTAGAAAGAAGGGACTTTTCATCTCTTTTGAGAAATTAGTCATTCTTATTTCCAATTAATCTGTGGTTACAAGTCTTATGTTTCTGTTCTATCACACTCTACATACAACTACTGCTATTGCTTTGCTACCTTTATTAATCCTGTAATAGTCTGTATAGAAGTGTTGTAATTTTGAGCACTTTTTAGAGCACTGTAAAGTTAAAGCATTCTTAAACATGACAGAAGTGCAGTGTTTGGTAGGTGGGGAGGAGGCGGCTCTCAGCTTCCCTGCACTTTCCAGGCTCAGAGGCAGGCAATGCTCCGTAGCTTCCTGGGGCTTCCCCACTGGGCAGAAATTTGAGCAGCGTACAGAAGTTATTTAAAGTGGGGTAGGTTGCTAAAGCACTGTAAAATACAGTACTTCAAATTTAAAATCGTGTATAACAAGGGTTAATTTAAAGTGCTGTACCCATTTCTAAAGTGCTGTAAAGTCATGCACTTCTGTTAAGTTACAACAATAAACCGCTTTAAATGACAAAAAAAGAAACTTCTGTATACACCCTAAAAGAGATACAAGTCCTGCTAATGCTAATTAAGTCTGCACTCTTTTAATACAGGGAAATATTATTATCCTAAGAGAAAAGCATACTTTAAAATGTTTAAGACCATTGATACAGATGAAAAAAAAGTACAATAAACAGCAGTGGATGAGTCCTCAAGAAAAGACCTAAATGATTTTTCAAATAGCAATGCTTATTCCAGAAGTGCAGCCTCTACTTGGTAATCAAGACTGCTACATGAGACTCCTTCGCTCTAAATTCCTAACCTACTTTGCAGCCACCCCAGACAGTTCCTAACTGAACACACAGGATTGTAACTCAAAGAAGTAAATACCATTTTTAAATAATTGGGGTTGTGGTGGGAACCATTTCATCACTCCAGCAGATCTAAAACCTGAGGGTAAAATGCATCTGAAATTTTTCAGGCCTTAGGGAATTTTTTCCAAAGTCTTTAATTAAGTTGCTTTTACAGGAACAGATGATGTCCTGGCATGTCTTGTTTGTTTTTTTTAATAGACAAGTGCCCTGAAGCAAGGCCCTACTTATGGAGTTTCCCCTGCAATCTTCTGTTGTGGGAGTGTGAAGGGGGATTAGGGGCCACTACAAAGGCAAGTGGTGGCACTGGCTTCACAACTAGAGGCATTCACCTGGTGTCTCAAGCCAGGTACAGGCCTGTCCAACTAGAAAAATGTAGTCACAGCATTATGACAGGGTCTTTGCCTAAAGTGCAGGTAAGGATGCTGGGTGCCTCAGTAACCTACCTGCAAATGGGACCAATAAAAGAAGGGACAAGGGCCACAGGGAGGGGACAGGTCTCCATGACCACCTATAGGGAAGAGACAGATAGATGTAGTTAAGCAAGGAACCGGAAAGAAAGGGAACCGAAGGGAATTCAAGAAGATGAGCTCCTGTTAAGTTTAGAACAGTCAAGCTAGCTTTGGAGCCCAGAGCACCCTAAGGTTAGATTAGGGAGTATTGGGACATCTTCTGGGAGCAGGAAAGGCCGGATGCACCAAAGAAGAGGAGCAGGAAATCAAGAGCGATCATGTGAGTGCAGCTATGGGTGAAGGACACCAGAATAGAGAGCAGGGTGGGAGCCTTGAGGTAGGGGTGGAAGGGATAGGAGGGGCATATACCCTTGAACCTGTTCTTCCCCATGAGGTGCTCTGTAACCCTCCCCCATAACCTCTCCTGCAAGCACCATGTGCTGGGCCCTGTATCCATAAGAAATTCCCAGGCCCCTGATGTAACCACCTCATTGCACAGCTCTCTTTTTGGAAGCATTGACCCTGAGAACCTGATGTCCTCCATATGATGACCATGGAGGCTGCAGTATGTAAGTAGGGTGCTATATTTTTAGTGGGGCCATCCTGTTTGAAGTCACCTCTCACTGCCTCTTCCTGTCCTCCAGCAGACATCATCTCACCCACCGCCTCAGGTCCCTCCACTTTTTCTGAATGGACTCATAGAATCATAGAAAGTTAGGGTTGGATGGGAGCTCAGAAGGTCATCCAGTCCAACACCCTGCTCAAAGCTGGAGCATCCCCAACTAGATCATCCCAGCCAACAATTTGTCTACCTGAGTCTTAAAAACCTCCAAGGATCGAGATTCCACAACTTTTCAGAGTAACCTGCTCCACTGTTTTACTACCCTCCTAGTGATCATTTTTTCCCTAACATCTAACTTAAACTTCCCTTGCTGTAACTTGAGAGCATTGCTTCTTCTTGTATCATCTGCCGCCACTGAGAACAGTCCAGCTACATCCTTGTTGGAACCAACCTTGAGGTAGTTGAAGGCTGTTATTAAACACCCCCTCAGTCTTTTCTCCAGGCTAAATAAGCCCAGTTGCCCCAGCCCCTCCTCAGGAGTAGAGGTGCACTAATGCATCATCTGATATCAGATCAGTGCCTATACAAAGAAAATTCTCTGTATCAGAAATTGGCCCAATGCGGCCGATAAGTTGGCCAATAAATGCTCATGAGTGTGCACAGCTGCAGTGTAGCACTCAGACAGTGAGGAGCAGAGCCCAGCACCACTGTGTGGCTGGTAAGTCCATTACAGTGGCAGGGGAGGGTGGAAGGAAGGGGCATGAGGGGGGCCCTGCGGTGAGGGAAGGGGCAGGGGCAGGCACTGCCCAGCTGGGGTGGGGTGGGGTTGGGGTGCAGGACAGAGCTGCAGTTCATCAGGGGTGGAGGCTCCCACCACTGCACATACCCCGGGAGCGCACAGCGG